GATTTTAGATATGTCATGAGTCAACGTAGGCCTAATGGCCTGAAAATTAGTCTATTGGATCTAAATCCTCACCCCCTTTTTCCCTTTACCTAAATTTTCTTGTAAACTATCCATTTTTTATCATCAAAAAGAAGGAAAATAAACTCAAGCGTGTTCTTGATTCTTTGCTTCTACACTTGCCAGTAATTCGTTACTTAGGGATCTTCACGCTGTTTGTAGGTAATGTTCCTACATTTTCCCCCTCATAGATGTATGTGACATCTGACTATGTTTCACTGAATTAAAATATTCGACTTTTTATTTCGTTTGTATGCGTAAATAGTATAGATAAATATGCATACACGTGCATATATATATATATATATATATATTTGTCTATGCATAAGCGCTGTTTTTCGATTTCAGTTAGGTTTGTAAATGAGTGGTGCTGGTCGTAAACATCGCGCTAAACACCTCACGAGGCAATATTTAGATGTCAATGCATGGGAAGGCCCTGAGGTAAACGAAACCTTGGCAGTGTGCACCGAGTCTCCACACGGGCAACACGTGCGTGTGATGCTCCTAACACTTGCCGTGGGTTCCGATTTAACTGTTGGAAATTCTCAAGGGAAGGAAAGACAACCCTTTCAAGAGGTACTTATCCATGTTCCTAGAAAATTTCACAAAGTTATCTGGTTTGGTATCAAAGATGTGGTAGTTGTAGCCGATGGTTGTGTGCAGTTTAAGCCCTCGCCAGAGCAATTGGATAACTTTTTAAAGAACCCAGCTAATGCAGACTGGAAGGAACACATAGTCCATGCCCAGAGCTTGGCTATAGAGAATCGTAGTGCGGTGGAGCGTATGCCTTTCTACAATAAACTCACAACAACAACAACTTCAGAACTCCCCTACGTACATGACTCAAATAATATCAAACCTAGTGTCGAAAATAGCTTCAACGTCGAGCATACTGGAAAGACCATGGAAGGGAGTTCTGACGATGCCGAGGAATCTGCTAGCAGTTCCGATAATGATTCATTAAGTCGGGTTGTTAACCCTAATCGTGGTACTATTAAGCACCGGCAACAATTCTTTTACGATTCTGAAACTGACGAGGAAATGGAGGACGATAAAGAAGATAATTGAGGTTGCACCCTAAATTTGTTATTAATTAATTTATCACTGTATCTAATTTTTCGAAACGTAATATAGCAGATCGATGTTATACTCTTTCTATTTTCACAATTCTTCTGTTACAATTGAGAGGAATTATAATAAAGAAATTCTTTAATATCATAATCTATTAAATTTCTCTTACTCTGAACATTGTGTATCTACAGGATTTAGA